CCACTCCTCTTTCAACCACCATCCCCGGTACTAGTCGTTGGGTTTCCATCAGGTTGCTTCTCTTCTTCAGCAAATGCATAGATTTAGTCTATTAACCTACCTGGAGTGGACATGCATATGGCCGGATGAGGTAGTTTGTGGATAACAGAACCTCGATTACGCGGTAGAATTTCTGTTGGGTTCCTGGTGGGAGAAATACATTTGTTCAGCTCTTTTGTGTGGCATGCGCTGTCTACAGTCATAATGGGCACGTGCGTAAGCATCTCGAAAGGTTACTTCAGTCGAGGTGTGGCAGCAAGGGCACGTCCTAGGTGTAAATCTCAGTCATCAGGTTGTACGCCTTTGGTAAAGGCCTTTAATGGTCACAAGAGTACTCTTCGTCCAGTGCCCCGGATTCCAAAGCATTTGTACAACTTTTTGACGAGACGACTTTCAAAGTTTACTCCTTGGTCGCTATGCCCACCATCAGGTACTCCGTGTTGACAGATTCAGTGATTACACAATGTGGTTGCCACTTTCTCAACGTCCTGTGCCTGCAAAAGTTCAGGTTCCGCGACCTTAGTAAAATAGACTACCATCATCAAAATATAGCTATTCCCTTTAGCGGTCGTTGGAAGTGGGCACAAGATACCTATACCTACCCGTTCCGCTGGAAATTCCCATGGGCATAGACAAAAGAGGGGTTACCTCAGTGCGATGTGAAGACCACCAATGCCCTCCTTTCCCACACATAGTCAAGTTGCTTATGTAACTCCAACAAAACTGTCTACATTAAGGAATCTGATACTACGAGGCGGTTACGACCTGCCACATTGTCTTTGTATCACGTGACGTCATCTTCGAGGAAGAGTTGGCCTAGTTCTGCCATATTTTTTTGACTCTCTTGCTCACTAAGCTCATCTTCTTAAATGTGGGCTTGCCCGAGGACGTCTTTAGTCTCTCACACGCTAGAGCCATATGCGGATAGTAGACTTGCCCAATAGCAGTGCACCCACTGTGCCTGTGGGCTAGGAAAAAGGTCACCGTGACAGGGCATCAATATTGCCGTGAGATCATCCTCTACAATACTGCACGACAAAATCATAGTGCTGGAGTTCTTCATTCCACCTCGCAACAGAGCGGTCAATCCCCTCCATCGCCTTCATCCATGTTGGTGCTTGGTGGCCTGCTCTCTCACATAAGTACCTTCCTATCAAACATTGTTTAAACTACCCAGCCGCTGTTCAGACGGCGAACAGTCCCCATTCTGTTCCACTCTTCCGTCTCATCTTTCTGCTTAGACGTGAGCTGGCATACGCGATCACATGTTCTCTCCCCTATTCGTCACTTTCGGGGTGAAACTCCGCCCACCACCACATTGCTTGCGTCTGTGCCCAGCACGAAAGGCGCAGCCTCAGCATCGAAGTGGGTAGGACCGAGATCGGTGCCACAGAGAGTGAAATTCAACTCTGGAAACACTTTCGCATGTGCCATACCCCAAATGACCTTCTTTCTCGTCACCTTCTCGGTCAACTTGTAGAGATCTTGGCGAAACCACTTACTAAACACCGATTATAGTTAGCCAAGCCATGGAAGCTCCAATTTTCCGCTTAACTGGTAAGTCTCGGCCAACTCCTCACTTGGCTTGTTCAATCTTCCTTTATCGCTATGCCATCATTAGAAATAGTACTTCCCAGAAACGTGACTGACTTTTCGGGTAAACGGCATTCCTTCGGATTCAGCGTCGGACCTGCTTCCCAAGGCGATCCAGTACTAATCGGAGGTCGAAGTTGTGCTGCTCGATACCTCTCCCAAAGTGCAAGGATGCTGTCTAGATAAATAATGTAGTGCTTCAGTAAAAGGCCACACATTGCCGTCTGCGTAAGTTGCTGGAAGGTGGCCGCCGCGTCGCAAAGTCCGAAAGGCATAGTTTGGAGCTCACAGACTCCGTTCGGTACACTGAAGACCCTTTTATCCTTATCCTTCTCCGCTACCTCTACTTGCCA